TCCTCTTCCCTCCTTTCCCTCTCTCACCCCCGGCTCCCAGCAGCTTCCTCAAGCAAGTGGCCGGCTTTGCCCCGGCCCCCCCTGCGCGGAAGGGCCGCGCAGCTCCCGCTTCTCCCGGCAGCGACGGGATGACCGTCCCCCGGCGGGTTTCCCAACCGAATACACACACACACCCCCACAACCCGCCCCGGGCACCCCCGGCACATCCCGCCTGTCGCCGTTCTCGGGCGCTTAGTTTTATTTCGACCGGTGCCGGCCCCGAAAGAGATTGAAGAAAAGCGATTTAAAAAAAAAAAAAAAAAAAAAAAAAGAATAAAGAACGAAAGATCGAGCCGTTTCGCCTCGCTACCGAATCCGCTCTCCCGTTAAACTGGAAACCCGTTACCGAGAGATTTAAGGCCGGACAGATTGTTTCGTGTATGGATATTCGAGATAAACGCGCATCCGCTGGGAAAACTAAACGTCTGCGAAATACTTCATTTAATTTTCCTCGGGATGCCTCCCGCCCGGCTGCCAGGACTCCAAATGCCGGGGAGTAATTTGGAGGTGAGAACTCCACATCCCCCCACCACCACCACCTTTGGAGGGGGGAAGCATTTAACATTAAATTCCATTAGCACCTAAATTGTTTCTTAAAGACATCCGCTCAGACACAATGACTTCAGTGCGGGCATCGCATGCAAATACATTTCTCAAATTTTAAACCTTGTTAAAGCTCGTCTCGCACCTCGCGTCGGGCTTAGCACTTGGGAAAACAATAGGCCTGGAGATTTTTTAGCCTTTCTCCGGGTAAATATTTAGAGTGGAAGTCGCTAAAATATTTGGCCCTCTTTTCTGCAATAGTCTGGCACGGTTCGGGCCGGCAGGAGCAGTAAATGAATAATAGATGAGGCGGGAGGATGAGTTTATTTTTTGTTACCCTTCGGCTCAGGCCGTTTTCCATCGGGAAAGCCTGGGCTCCTTCGCCCCTCTTCCACCTGATTTGGGTGGAAGTTTCCTCCGAGCCTCAAATCCTCTGTTCCCTATTACATAATTTAATAAACTGTTGCAAAAGCGCCTTAAATCACCTCGAGTGAGACTTTAAAAACACTTCTTTTTTTTTTTTTTTTTTTTAAATGAGAAAATTTTATTGCCTTGCTCACACCATTTAAATTTAATGGAAAGCATTCCCGGAAAGGGACGTTTTGCCACTTCCAAAGGGATTTCGGACTAATGACGAATTTTGCACATATTTCTCTCCTTTCTCTCTCTCGGTATCCATACATGAAAGCCACGCTCACAAGCGCTGAAGTTACACGCCAACACGTTGCACGCTGCAAATGTATAAGGCGTTTTATGTGCGTGTGTGTTTGTATATATATATATCTATATCTTCCCGTTTTTTAATCAGGACGGTAGAATTAAGTTCGCGCTGTATTTAACGTTTCTACGAAAAGACCCCGCCGAGCCTCGACACGAATCTCTATCGCTCACCCCGAAAATTAAAAGCAATCAGCAAAATATCCTTTGGAAATCTGGGAAGGGGGTGGGGGAGAGAGGGATGCTGGTGGGGAAGAAACCAAACCAAAACAAACGCAGCGGTGTGATGGAGCGGGAAAGAAAAATAAAAATAAAATTAAAGGGGATGCTTAATTTCTCGTTGCCAGCATTTTACACCTCTCTGCCCGAGTGTCTATCTGTTTACATATACATACATATATATATAGATAGATATATATATAGGCGGGGGCAGAGGGGGGAAATCTGCCGAAAGAAAGCCGAATTACCTGTGTGCGTCCTTTTGTGAATTTTGAGGTTTTCTGATCTGGCGAAAACTTTTCCGCAGCCGGGGAAGGGGCAGGGGAAGGGTTTCTCTCCCGTGTGCACTCGGATGTGATTGACCAGTTTGTATTTCGCTTTGAAGGGCTTGCCTTCCCGGGGACACTCCTCCCAGTAGCAGACATGGTTGCTCTGCTCGGGTCCCCCAACGTGCTCCACCGAGACGTGGGTGACCAACTCGTGCATGGTGCTGAAAGTTTTATTGCAACTTTTTTTGGGGTTGTTCAGCTGCTCGGGGTCGATCCACTTGCAGATGAGCTCTTGCTTGATGCACTGCTGCCGCATGTAGCGGAAAAAGGCACCTGGGTGGTGGTGGTGGTGGTGGGCTGCCATGTTCATGCCCATATTCATATTCATGGGGCCGTACTGGTTGTGCAGCTGAGCCGCCGAGTAAGGGTCAGTCCTGGGGCTGGAGACCTGGCGGTACTGATCCGACCGGGCGAACACCTCCCCCGGTAAGCCCAGCCGCATCTGCCCGTTGAGGACGTTCTGGGAGGCGTGGGGACCGTGCTGGTCGTGGATGCCCGGGAAGAGGAGGTGGCTCTGAGCGTCCGTGTGCGGGTGATGAAGGCTGCCGGCAGCCGGGCCGAAGATGCCGTGCTGCCCGCCGGCCGGCGACGAGTCCCCGAAGCCCCGGCTGCGAAACAAGAAGTCCCGGGTGGAGTTGAAAGGAGCCCCGGAGTAGGAACCGACGTGGGCGGCGTGGGGACCCAAAGCGGCGGCGGGATAACCGGGAGCCTGCGAGGTGAACGCCGAGCTCTGCCCGGGGGAGAGGTCGTGGGCCCCGGCGTTGAGCTTGAAGGCGCCCATGTGCGCCGCCGCCGCCGCCGAGTCCACGAAGCTGTTCTGCGCCGCCAGGCTCAGCTCCCGGTCCTGCATCTCCGCCGCGGCCGAGTGGTGATGCCGGGCGAAGGTACCCACGCCGAGGGCCGGGAACTGCGGGCCGGCGTCCAGCAGCATGGTCCGCGCCGCTCCGGGGACGGGCACGCCGCCGCCGCCGCCGCCCCTCTACCGCCGCCGCCCGCCCGGCCCCGGCC